AGCTGCTCATGATGAGGTAGATGAGCGGACGCACGCCGAAGGTGCGCACGAGGAAGAAGTCGAAGACGAGCTCTACGGCGAGGTTAAGGATGTGCCATTTCGTGAGGCGCTGCGCGCGGACGAAGCCTGGACGAAGGGCGTAGAAGAGGATCTGGAACGTTCTGGGGTGGGGTGAGAAAGTTAGGTTAGGTTGGGGGTTTGGAGTAGAGGGTATGTGAGGGGTACACGTACGCGAAGAAGACCTTCCCGAGGACGTTGTTGAGGCAGAGCAGCTCGAAGCGCGTGGGGAGGTCCGTGTCGATGCCATCTTGGCCCATGAATTTGTGGTGCTCTATGTGGTATCCCTTGAACGCGGCGGAGTAGGGTATCCCAATGGGGAGGTTAGCGAAGATGGCTAGGAGCCTGTTGGGCGCGACGCCGGGGAACGCGAGGTTGTGTGTGATCTCGTGGATCGCGAGAAAGAGGTTATGATTCGCCGTTCCGCCTATGGCATACGCGAGGAAGATGAACAGCGGGGAAAATGGGGAGGTGTGTCGCAGGTATATTGAGAGGTATATTTGGAGAGAAACCACAAAGAGAACGACATATTTAGTGAGGGGCTCGTAGCCCATGAGTTTAGTGACCTTTTCTCATATTGGAATTTAGATTTTGTCGCGACGTGGAGGACGGAAACAAACCTCTGGGTGGGCTTTCATAATCGCCGTACGCCGCGAGCGGTGTGGCTCCTCTGTCATGAGCCATAGAAAGTCAGAAGGGTCCTGGGGTGGGGCAGGATGAACGCTGGCATCAGCGTCGTCGTTCGTGGTCGCGAACGTGCGTCGCGGTGCCCGTTTTCCCTCAGTCAGAGAGTCTGCGCCGCCGAAGAGGCTAAAGTCTGTGGCGTAGTGGTTAGTATAGAAACAGTATACAAGGTTAGATAAGTGACTTGCTTATTGACATTGACGGGCACTGTAAGCTGCATATAGCCTGGAGAACTTTTGGTGATCAACCCGTAGTGATGGTTACATAAGTAAAATCTGCTAGATAGTCTAGAGAGCATCCAAGTCACTGAATTATATTTATTTTGAATTATCGAACGATTTCTTGCTCTTGTGGGCATTTTCATGACACCGAAAGCTAAAAACGAACGACCTTGGTTGAAAACGCCGAACGGAGAGCGCGACGGCGCGTCGAGGTCATGTGACTGAAATAAATGGCCTGATCATTTCAAGTCAGACCACTTGCCTGTGGACGTCGAAAAGCGAAAATATATCTTCCACTTCTTGCTTTTCCACCGTCATCTCCTCCGTGCGTCGCATGGCTTTCTCCTCGCCGTCCCCGGTGTCGTCTAGCTCAGACTCACATTCATCCTACTCACCTCGAATCATGGCCTCTGAGCTTTCTCTCGACCCAGTAGACCAGCTCAATTTTCTTCTGAGCAATCCTTCTCCCATGGACGAGTCGGGAACAGCGGACTTCAATCAAGCTTCAATGTGGCCGGAAACCGACTTTAATACGCACATGAAGTCGTACGGGGACATGGATTTCAATGACCTTGCGTCGTTGTCCATGGACATGGACTACATCAATGCAATCGCTGTTGAGCCCAGTGTATTACAATACAACAACTTCAACCCGCACTATGGCTTTGACGCTCATCCAGCGTCATATGCAGACGAGTTTGGCACTTCACAATTCCCTTTTACCTTCCAGAACGACCCCAGTTCACCTTCGGACTCCTCATCTTTGCAGTCATCGGCCAGCGGACGAAGGTTGAGCATATCTTCGTCAGTGTCTTCCTCCGGTGCATCGTTCTCACCTGCTCCGGAGTCTGTACCGAGTCCAACCACTGCCAAACTCGTACCCAATTATCCACCACCTCCCGGGCTCGGAACTAGTTCCGCAAACACCAGTGGACCCGTAGCCTCCGACCTAGCATCACAGCTTGCAGAACGAGTCCGGAAGTCAGCCGGCGTGATGCTCGCTCTCCCTATGACCGCTCAACTCCAGGCCTTTGAGAATCAACAGGCTGCGGAGAATACAGGTATTTTAGTCCCAAGTTGCCATCAATCAATAGTAAGCTAAACTACATTCTACAGCTCCCAGCAGCCCCGCTGCAGCCCCCAAACTCCCCATTCCCCGTCTCCCGCGGCACCCCTCCCAATCTATCGCTTCCAGTTCCTCCGTCTCATCAGCTGCCTCAACACCACCACCTACTACACCTTCCCCTTCATCACCATCGGCCCTGGCACCCTCTGTGCCTGCCCCTCGCCCCAAGACCAGCCACACCACTATAGAGCGGCGCTACCGCACCAACCTCAATGCCCGCATCCAGAGCCTGCGTATGGCAGTGCCTGCCCTCCGTGTTGTCGATGACCGCGAAGGCGGCAAGAAGCGTGCCCCGAACAAGGTCCTCGTATCTGGGGATCCTCTCAAAGCTGGAGGAGAGGACGTGGTAGACGAGCGTGGGTTCGTCGACGGTGTTAAGGTTGCCAGGAAGTGTAGCAAAGCGAATGTACTGGGGAAGGCGGTGGAGTATATCCGAGTTTTGAAGAAGCGGGAGGGCAGGCTGAAGGCGGAGCAATCGGGCCTGAAGAGCCTTATAGCGGGGCTCGTGGGCGGGCCGGCGCTCCTGAGGGAGTGGGAGCGCGAATGGAAGGAGGCGTTTGGAGGGGAGGAGAAGGACGAGGTGGAGGGCGAGGTTGACGCTGATGGTGACGATGATGAAGACGATCTTGACGAGGACGACGATGAGGAGGGCGGGAGGAAGAGGAAGAGGGGCAAGGTGGCGTCGCCCCAGCAGGAAGGGGCTGCACAGGTCAAGCAGGAGAAGAAAGAGAAGAAGATCGTGCTCGGTCCTGATGGGACCGTACCTGAGAAACGCAAGCGCGGACGCCCGAGGAAGGTTGTGCCGCTCCCCGCTCCGTCACCTCCCGCGGAAGTTCCAGCGGAACAAGTGCAGCAGCAGGGTACACAGCAGCAGTACCTCCTCGCGACATTCGCCCTGTTCTCCTTCTTCAACTCCCCCCTCACCTCATCGAGCTCGACGCCCACGCATGTGCACACCGGATCGGTTTTGAACAGCTCCGCTGTGCCCCTCGCCGTTGACACCACAGGGGGTTGGAGCTTGTCGTACTACCTACAGATCTTCCACCTCCTCGTATCCGTCGTCGTCCTACTCAGCTGCGTGTCGAATTGGTTCGGGGGCTTCAGCGTCTTTGGGAAATCCAGATCGTCTGTATTCGAATTCTCGGCGCTCAGGACGAAGAGGAGGACGGCGGCGGACTGGGTCCGTCTCGGCGAGACTTATGTTCTCTCAGGTCCGTTCTCTTTCGCTCTGCTTTCTTTCTGCTCAACGAAACTCATTTAAATTGTCATTGGCAGACAAAATAGCGCAACCCGCGATATCCCTCCTCTCCCGGCTCCAGGTGTACCACAACATCACTACCTTCCCTGTGTCCAGCGCAGCGGACCTCTGCACTGCCGTACTTACCCTGCACGGCTTCGGCACCTTCCTCGGAGGCCTCGCACGCGCCAGGGCACGCGCGGTGTGGAGCAGTATCAGCACCAAGGGCGCGACCGCGTATGAGCGCTTGGTGCTCGAGGAGATTAGTGTGGACGAGGCTGCCACTAGGCTCAGCGCCGGTCCTTCAGCTTATCACGCCGATAATGAGGATGGGGAGCTAGGCAAGCCGATGAGGGTGTTGGCCGCGGCGCTTGTCAGGGAGCGTGTGGCTAGCCACCTCGGTGTGTTGTTCGTCGGGAGCGTGCGTGGTGAGGACGACGCGGATGTGGATGTGGAGGAGAGGGAGAAGGAGGTCAAAGAGTGGAGGCGCACGATTGAGGCTGCGAAGGAACTCGGTGGACATGTTGGGGAGCTTGGAAGGCGGCTGGAGAGGCTGTGGAAGGTCCCTTCGGAGTTGATCACTGTCGATGTCAAGGGGTACGAGAGTGAGGGTGAGGAAGATGAGGTGGAGGCGCTGGCGGCTGCGCTTGTTTTGTACTGCCGGGTGTTCTCTTCCATTGAGAGCGGAGAGTCGGCCCTGATGAGCCCGCCTCCGAGCCCGGGGAGGGAGGGCAAATATAAAGACACAAGCGATGTGGCGAGGCTGAGGAGGGCGCTGGGTAGTAGGGTGTTTGAGAAGAGTGAGGCTCTGGAAGATGCCAGGGATCGTGCGGTGGATATAGTCGTCAAGCTGGAGAGACGGAAGGTGGGCTTGGATTGATATTTATGTGCTTTGGACTGCGTTAGCTTGTAGAGTTCTTGATTTATCTGTTTTTGTTATACCTTAAGCTATTCCCAGTATATATGTACTGTTGTACCTGCGACATTACTATAGTTGAATGCGTGGCTTATGGTTGCGCATGGCTATGTGGCGCAAGGGTCACCCAACCATCGAGAGTTTTGTTTTGGGGCTCAACATACCAAAAGATTCAGATATTCAGAAACAGATCCTCCTTCGTAGGCTTCCAGAAATGGAAAGAAAGGAGCAAGTAATTTTATTACCCGCTCACACATATTAAAAACAGAATTTCGCCCGAGTGATCAAACATCGAGTGCTCAACTTGACCCAACATTGCGGTATCTTCCAAGGCGGCTGGTTCAAGTCACTTGCATATAATTGCAGTTGATGTGCAGCAAAATGCATCAGCCGGGAGTCGAACCCGGAGCTAGGCCAATTGAATGGGAAGACCCAATGTTACCGCTACACCACTGATGCATACACATTGCGCGGCTAAAGAGTCTACCAGTCCATATACTATAGGTGTCGAGCTGGAGACTGATTTATCTGTTTCAGTGCCTTGAACCTACTCCGAGATGATCAGTGCTGTGTGCCGTGCGGCATTTCTTGTGCTGTGGCGATTTGTATTCTCTCGTAAGTAGTTGAATGCGCAAAGCCAATAAAATTGTAAAGAAAACAAATGCAGCGAGACAAATACCCCATATCGACATCAAGGGTACTGTATGCCGCCGGAAAATATATGTCGAGGTCAGTTCTAAAGTTGATGGCTTCAAAAAATGCATCAGCCGGGAGTCGAACCCGGAGCTAGGCCAAATCGTCAAGATGGGAAGACCCAATGTTACCGCTACACCACTGATGCTTATCACTTTTCTCTCAATGACCGTGAGATTATGACACCACTCTGAACAAAAGTCTTAATTCGACCAGCCACCGTGCCAACACTCCATATCCTGTTACCGGGAACGGCAGAATCTGGGAATGCACGGGTGGTAGGGCCTGCAAATGGAGATACGCGTCCAGGACTTTACGACCTGCTACAGAAGTACCCTCCAAGCGGGTCACGCGCCTCACAGGGTCATGGTGGAGGTGGTGGTGGAACCCATAAGCCGCTGTCCTGCGGAGGCCCCTGAATCTAGGCCATCGAGCCATTATGGTCAGCGTCTTCGCAGGTAACGCATGTGTTTCACCTGGGGGTGCGGCCTACGATCCCTAAACCAAAGACTGACACGACCCCCTCTGCCTTCTGTGGACCCTACCGTTCCCCCGATATTTTTGTCAATGTTGAATTTTCGATTTGGAGAAGGTGCCTGTGCGGGTTGAGAGGAAGTATACATAGTAGAAACCAAATAGAAACTAGATGTGAATTCTCCAACGCCTACTTTTCATACAGATTGACTGCTATTTGTCCATTTTGGCTTGAGCGTGTCTTACGCGTCAAAATCACGTGTAGTTCTTACCTTCTCCCTCTCCTTCCGAGTCCAAGTCCAAATCCTCTGGCGCTTACCGAGTCTCGATGTCTCTACATCCCTCTGTTGCTCTGTTTTACAGCGCCTTGACTTTGAAACCAGTTTGTGCTCCAGGAGGTCCTCGTCATTTTAGCTACGTTTCTATCGTTTCTATCAAAGGACGTACCCAAATCATGTCACGTCGACAGCTTTGATGAATCAGGCAGGTGCCCACTGCCATAGGTGCCCAACTAAGTAGCCGCATGTTCTTTCGCATCTCCAATCTCTTGTCTTAACTTTGGCCTCCCGGAATAACCTTTGATACCTGAACCTTCGATAACCTTGCTTCGGTTCCTATCTACCGAGTATCTCGTATCGATCATAAGTATCAAGTTACTTTCAGATAGCAACCTTGTGCTAGCCAAGCCTCATCATCTGCAACATCATATATTGCGCTGCTATCAATCAATGGACTTCTATGGGTCTGAGTGCTCTCACAGCCTCACAACCACCCAGCGTCTACCGTTGACTCGGACGTGACAGACCTTCCGTATCCGACTCCGTACCCGGAACTGTCACGGCCCGTAAAAGTTGCGAGATTCTCACCAACAACCACTTCATCTTCTCCCGGGCGCACTGCTAACTTTGTGTGAACCACAACCATCCCATTTACGACTCGATGCCCCACGTCCACCTCGACACACCTACTGGGCCCATTGAGCTGAACTACTCGATCGCGACGCCCACCGACCCGTATAGCGCTACCATTGTATCGCACCTCCCATGTATTCTCTTTCTGCACTCTGGATACTCTGGTCAAGAAGCATTTGAATGTACGAACACTCTAACTCCCATTTTACGGCCACACTGACCTTCTGACAGCCCAATTCTGCGACCCGCGACTCAGAGGGCAATTCAATCTAATTGGAGTCGACATGCGAGGCTACGGCCTCACTAAAGGCCACATCAAGCAGGAGACTTACTGTCCCATTGACTCGGCAGACGACGTATACCGGTTCCTCGTGAGTAACTCAATCTCCAGATGCTTTCATTTTGGGGCCTTGGCCGCCGGGGCCGAAAGGTGTACTAACTCATTCATGCATTTTCTTTTGTTTACAGAAAACACTTGATCTCCCACCCATGCACATATTTGGGCTCGCCATTGGCTCTTGTGTGGGCCTCGAACTCGCAACGAAGCATCCGGAGCTTGTGCGCTCTCTTACCCTATGTTCGCCACTTCCCGCAACCGAGGTATGTGCGGCGGGATTTATCTGCCCCCATGTCTCGCGTTCTTTTACTCCGATGCTAATGTGGGTGTTCAATAGCCCGAGGAAATCGCGTCTGGGCGCCTCGAGGTGTTCAATCTTTGGGTCCAGGCCTTTAACCATGACGGACGCGGTTCGCCCGGCGGCGACAGCGCTACTCTCGAGGATATCACTCTCGGCATCCAGCAGCTTTGCTTCAATAACGAGAGGACTACCCTAACCGACGCGTATGCCGTGCTTCTCTCCATTGAATAACTGACTGACATGTTCATGCGTCGCAGGCTGTCCAAGAACTCACTCGTGACAGCAACACAAAACCGTGCCGGCTCGCCACAAGGCGTGAAGGATTCGTATCAGGCAACCGTTGGATGGTTTCTACAGCGTCAACCACAGTCTCGAGAAGCATTGGCTAAGGTCAGCGTGCTCCGTCTATTGTGTTTATTCACGCTCCAATTCCGTGACTCGTGATCCCTTCCAGATCCAGTGCTCCGTCAGACTGATCCACTGCGACGACGATGTAGCGTACTCGGTGCAGTATGCCGAGGAGCTGGAGGACCAATTACGAGATGCAGGTATCACCGACGTCGAGCTTTTCGAGGTACCCGGACCCCACTACGGGAGCGTTGTAAACCCACAAGCGTAAGCGACGCATCATCCTTGTCTATCATCGTTGACTAAGGTTCGACGTGTTTAGAATTAATCCAATACTTCTTGAACACGCGCTCTCGGCGTCCAATGGCATTGGCAGCTCCCTCCTGATGCAAGGTCATCACAATCAGCACGCAGCTGGGAAGTGCAAAAAAATGACAACGCCCTTCACGACGCGGCTCGCCGTATACGGATATGATCCAAACGAGGACGAGGATGACTTTGATGAATGCTAATGCAACACTGCAACACATCTTGGTGTATCAAAGCCTAGATGCTATGCGCACCGGCCTTACATACGCCATTTGAGTGTCTCTCACTTTAAACTAATGTATTTATATGTCTATTATCTGTCATACTCCTATGCCTCGAATAACTCAAAAGCTTTACTACGTTGCATGTATTATTAAAGTCTATAATTGAAATCTTGAAACCGTTTGTCCCTATGCTGAATTGGATACCAGATCATAGATATCATAGATCTCCAAGGCCAAATCAAATCAGCCTCGGTAAATGGCAATACGCAACGGGAAGGATGAAATGGGGCATTCAGGGGTACAACCACGTCTGTTAGCGCAGATTGGCGCCTATCGGAATCAAAATGCTTCCGCGCTTTGATTCATGTGCATGAACCACGAGGTACACACCTTCGGCTTGATTCATTCCACTCAGCTATACATGGCGAGCATCATCTGTCAGGCGTCGTATCAGGAATCAGCGGTCCTCTGCCTTCCCTTTTGTGCGAGCTAGAATATAACATCATTAGAACGTGGAACTGCGGTGTAAAAATGGCCAGCGTATACCTGTACGAATTTCTTTGTGTTCCAATGAAAATTGACGTAGTCCAAATCTTCACGAGGCATCCACCACTCAAGGAACAGAAAGAAAAGGCAGTCGACGATCAAGATGATCGTATAAATAGGACCTGCGAATGGTCCAAGCTGCATGGTCCTTAATGAAACGTTCCTGAGCCAGAATAGAAAGAATAGCATAGGAAAGAACTTACCGCCGCATGCGCTCCCACAGCTCCATTTGCGGCGACTTGACAACCGCATCGTAAACCTTTTCTGTCCGTGTCGCGACATCTTCCCAGTTGTAGAACGTCTTGACGCGCTCATGCGCTTTCTGCGGGTCGTGCTTGCCCGCAGACACGAGGTTGATAGCTTCGGACATGGCACGGAAGACATCTGAAGCCACAAGAATGAGCCAGTCAGAATGAGAGCTCCAATGCAGTGGAATACAGACCGTCTTCGTCGGGTTCGGCAAAACTGATCATATCCTTCGGAAGAATCTCGGGCACACCCCCGACGCGAGTCGAGACAACGTACAGGCCGGCACACGCTGCTTCGAGGATGGCGATGCCAAAAGATTCAGTCAAGGATGTATTCATGAATATGACTCCTTGATGCAAGACCTAGTCCCGTTGTGTGTGAGAACAGTCGTCTCCAGGATCAACTGAAAGACTCACGGATTGAACATCACTGTGTCTAACAGGACCAAGGAGCTCGATGCGGTCTTGGAGTAAATGTTTCTCCCGCATCTGTAAGAGGTCGATAAGTTTAGGTCCATCGCCACCTGTATTCACAGGTTATTTGCGTGCTTTCGGTTGAATCAGAAGGAGGCTCACCAACTACGAAACGGACTTCGGGAAATGCAGCACATATTCTGGGCGCGGTTGCAACAAGTAGATCAATTCCCTTCCGGTATGCCAACCGAGAGAGCACAACGATAGTGACTGTTTGCAGGCTTAATATAGGCCCCCGGTAAGAGCTTCGGCAAGAACTTACTGGTGTCACTAAGGTTTGGGGGGCCTGGCTTAAATGATTCTGCGACAAGTGAATTTGGTATGACATAGACATTTTCGCGTACGACAAGCTTAGTCGGGTTACTAGGATCTGTCTCGAAGAGTTCACCACGCAGTACTGTATTTTCGCGCCTACGGCCACTAGATATTAGAGGTAGAACGAGGCTGTGTTTAAGCGCTTACCCAGTATGAGAAACGCATATCACTGCGTCTACATTTTTGAGGGTCCCCACGAGAAGCTTGTTCGTCAAGATGCTTGCAGCGTCCTCAAAGCCGAAAAGGCTATGGTCTGTAAAAACGGTTCGAATACCCATCAAGTGGGAGTGCAAAATTCCTTCATGGCCGATGGAGGAAAGGCTTGCGTGCGCGTGTATTAGGTGTATGTGCTCCCGCAAAAGGATCGTTCGAAGGTATGGCAGCGACGTGAAGAAATTCGGAAGGGTAGCCGATGAAGCAATGGGAAGAAATGGTATATAATAGACTTTGAGGGAAGGTAAAAGCCAACGTACACCGACGCGGTCAGGGGCATGACTGTGGGTTATAACGATGACCTTTGAAATTTTCGTTCCGTTAATTCACTCAAAATTTATACATGATCACGTACTTTGTGTCCTCTCTGCATCAGCGTCGCGCTCAGCATGTATATGTGGTTCTCTACACCACCAACATTAGGATGGAAGAAGTCAGAGATCATCCT